AATATTTATTGTATATATATTACTATGTTATAAAAGACAGGAAAACACATATTCTAAATGTAAACAGTACTGAACTACATGATGATTGCATGGTATTGACTTTCTCCTTTATACCTGTATGCAATGCTCCTTAGGGATTTTGTTAGAGTTATTTGTTGTTAGAATGACTATGTGACAAGATCTTAAGAGAAAGATTTTTTAAATTTCACATTTTCACAGAAATTGGTATTTAAAACTATTTGTAGCCACGCAGGCAAAACTAATCTTTTTTTCTCCTAACACTGAGGATTTGAACCCAAGGTCTTGAGCACACTAAGAAGCACTCTAGGGATGAGCTACATCCCTAGCTTTTTTCTTTTTCCTTTGAGACAGGGTCTTGCTAAGGTGCTCAGGTTGGTCTCAAACTTGTGATCCTCCTGCCTAGTCCCCTGAGTAACTGAGGTTACAGGATTGCCACTGTGTCTGTCAGAACTAACCTATTCTCTTAGAAGTCCAGAAAGGGACCAGAAGGGAACACAACAGGGACTTTTGGGGGTGGGTCATGCTCTGTTTACTGATTTGGGTGCTGATTACTAAGAGAGTTCAGTTTGTGACAATCTGATTGATAATATGATCACCCATTCCCCCTTTGGTGGCACTGGGGATCATACTCAGGGACTTCCGTGTGCTAGGCAAGAGCTCTACCACTGAGTTGTGCCCCCAGCCCCTAAGGACTTTTCTCTGTGTATGTTATGCTTCAGTAAGAAAAGTCAGCGGGCTGTGGGGGTGCGCACCGGTAGTCCCAGCTACTCTAGAGGCTGAGGTGGAAGAACTGCTTGAGCTGGTGAGTTGGGGACCAGGCTGGGCAAAACAATAAAATCCCTTCTCAAAAAAATTTTTATATTTATTAAGCATTCCGAGTAACAGAGGGAAATGTTCATGTTGCCATATTTAGCAGGAAAAAAAGAGAAATGTCAGCTCCAACTCCTACATAAAACCTTCCCCAGGCATGGCAGATGTCCCTCTGCAAAAGAAAACATAAACATGAACTATGTAGCCAATAAAGTGATAATTTGGTAGTGGAAGGCACACTAACTTGAGGTATGTCTTATGTACTTGTGTTGTATTAAAAACCACTACAGCAGGCTAGAGGTGTACCTCAGTGGTAGAGCACTTGCCCACCATGCATGAGGCCCAGGGTGCAATTGCCAGTACTGCATAAAAAACAAAACAGAGCTGGGCAAAGTGGCACATGCCTGTAATCCCACCACTCTGGGAGGATGAAGCAGGAAGATCCCAAGTTTGAGCTCAGCCTGGGCAATTTAGTGAGTTACAGTGAGACCCTGTCTCAAAAATTTGATTAAAAAAAAATTAGATAGAAGCGGGGGATTTAGCTCAGTGGCACTGAGCCCGCCTCGTAAGTGGAAGGTCCTGAGTTCAATCCCCAGTATGAAAAAAAAAATTAGATAGATAGATAGATAGACAGACAGAGATAGATATATGGGGCTAGTATCCCTAGAATCCCTAGTATCACAAAAAATAGAAAAAACAAAACAAAAAAACCTTTGTAGGGCTAGGTACTGTTTGTTCTGGTATTCTCCTTGAACTCAATGTTCAGCTTAATTCTTCATAAAGAAGAATGATGTTCAGCTCCATAACGAAAAGCTAAATAAAACAATAATTAACTACATGCAGGAAATAATTTTCTCTGTAAGTATGCCTATAGAAATAGGTCTATTTTGGGCCGGGGATTTAGCTCAGTGGTTCCAGGGCCTGCCTCACAAGTTCAAGGATCTGAGTTCAATCCCCGGTACCCAAAAAATAAAAAACAACAAAAAAAGAAATAGGTCTATTTCCTTTTCTGAGAGAATAAGAGCTAAATAGCCCCACCCCCCACCCCCCGCTGATCAAGCCCAGGGCCTCATGCATACTATGCAAGTGCTCTATCACTGAGCTATATCCCCAGCCACTTTTTTGGTGGGGAGTGCTGTAGATTGAACTTAGATTGCACATGATAAGCACGTGTTCTACCACTGAACTACACCCACCCCAGCCTCTATTTTCCCCCTTTTTGCCACAACTACTTTGAATCTCACCACCTCACTTAGAGAATTTGATCCTTCTGATTTAAAAGAACTGTTGCATAGGTACAGGCAGGCTGTCTCAGGACATCAAAGTCACCTTCCCAGGGATGCTGGCAAGAAAGGGATGCTGAGGCTGGGCTGCATGGACACTCTCCATGGACAGGAGTCTCAGGGATAATGAGCCCAGTCCACAAGATCCATTTCCTACTCCAGGTTCTTTATGAAGTGCTGAAAAGGCTTCTGAGTAGGCTTCCGAGGGGCTCAGAAGCACTTTCAATTCCCCAAGGATCACAGAATCCTATGGTAGCAATTCTCATCTTCCCATGGTACAAGTGAGAAAGCTGGGGCCAGAGGGTAGGGATGTGGCCAAGGTCACACAGCCACAATGGCTGGCAGAGTAGAGACTTGCACTCAGGTCCCCTGAGTCCAAGTGATAGGTCATCCTCATCCTCACCCATGGACCAGACCTTGAGTAAGACTTTTCATATATTCAACTCTTTCAACAACCCTGTGAGATTTTCATCCTGTAGGTTGGAAAGCTGAAAAATCAGGGAGGTGAAGTGACTTATCCGAGCTCTCACAGCCAGTGCAGAGTGGATCCATACTTGGAACCCAGACTGGCTACCTGCTACACAAATTAGTAATTCCACTAAATGACATATATTATTAAATTTCCAGTGGAAGTTAATACAGAAAAAAAAATCAATTTCTTCCGATGAGGTTATAAGCTTCCTTTAATTAGGCTATGAGCATGGCCCAAACTTCCTTATTCCCTTTTCTGCTTAAAACTCATATACTTACCCTCCATAGATCATTCTGCCTTTGGGAGGCCCTGGTCACTCTCTTCCCACCCAATCTCTTGCTCAACTAGGGTTAGACCCACCTCAGAGGCAAAGGAATCATTGTCTTCAGCTCGGTAAGGCCTGAAGCTCCAAGTGGAGTCAGGCTTAGAGTCCAAGTCACCAGTGCGGAAGGCCTCTCGGATTCTGGGCTCCCATTCTGGCAGATCCCTGAAGTCAGGTGGCTACACCCAGAGGCAAAGGCAGAAGAAAACAAAGAAAATCATAGGGAGACACCAAAGGGATGCCATATACAGCCCTCATCCCAGGCCCTCGGCTCCCTAAGAGGCTTTGACTACCCATGGGAGGGCAGCTTCAGCTAGATTTACCTCTGCAGTCTAGACCCAGCCCTGCTGAGGTCTAGTGCTGCCACTCAGTATTTGTTAAAAAAGATGAATGAGCAGGTAAGTGGTGAGTAAAATACTACTTTTGTCAGTGTCTATCTTACACACAAACACTCTGAAACAACCAACCATTCTATCACATGTATGTTCCTAGCTTACTCCCACTTTAAGAACCAAGAGAGAGACTCAAAATGGGGGAGGCTGCTTGTTTAAAAAAGAAACATCAAGCCAGCTCTACAGGGCATGAGTTAAGTGCAACTGTGTAGTTATTAGAGAGAGAGCTAAATCTCTCTGCACAGACATGGCTAGATCCCTGCTGTTGCTCTCAGATGCAGATCAAAGCTCCCAGCGTTCTGTAGTCCAACCTCCCTCCTCTTTGCTCAGATCCTTGGATACACCATGTTCCTTTTGCTTCTGATCTGAGCTGTGCCCAGGGTCTAGGTCAAGTTCCTTGTTCAGAAAACCATTTATCTTTCCTTCAGATCCCTCTTCTCAGTTTGTAATTTCACATTTATTGGCATGACATTTTGATTAACTCTTCCCCATTAGACAATAAGGTCCTTAGGAGCAGGAATCCTGTCTGGTTTTGCTTACCATGACACCTTCAGCACCAAGCTCAGAAAGTGTATATACTATATGTGAATCATCACAGCAAATGAACACATGGATAAGTTGGGCGAGAAAAATATATTGTTTAGTAATAGTAGGTGTAAGAGGTGAAAAGCAAATACATGAGAATATATGTACACAAAGATTTAAAGAGGCAGCCTACAAGGATGAAATATCCTAGATCTATGCAACTAGACACATGCCCAATGTGTGACAACTGAGCACTTGAAATGTGACTACTGCAACTGAGGAACTGAATTTTTAATTCTAAGTAGTTCTAGGTTTTTTTGGTACCTGCAATCGAACATGGGACCTTGTGCTTGCGAGACAGGGACCGGAACCACTGAGCTACATCCCCGGCCCAGTAGTTCTAATTAGTTAATTAATTAATGTGGTGCTGGGTATGGGACCCAGGGCTTGCTAGGCAAGCTTTCAACCACTAAGCTATATCACAGTGCCCTGTGTGACAGTGGCTACTATACTGGACAGCACTGCTCCAGACTACTGACAGTAGTCCAGGGCTGGAGATGTAGCTCAGTGGTAGAGTGGTTTCCAAACATGCAAAAGGTCCTACATTTTATCTCTAGTACTGTAAAATAACAACAAAAAACTAGTAGTACCAGTAGGAGACAGGGGAAGTGGGCTTTCATCTTTTTACCCCAGCACTTCTAAAACTTTTTAAACATCTATGTCTACTTTTGCCATATGGCATTTTTAGCAAGGGAGGGGAATTCTTTGCTATTTTAATTTTCCTAAGTAGTATTTTATGGACATCAAGGCTGGAAGTCCATTACTTATAATGGATTTCTTGGCTGTTTTTTGAGACAGGATCTTACTATGTACCCCAGGCTAGCCTCAATCCTCCTGCATCAGCCTTCAGAGTATGGGGTTATAGACATGAGCCATTATGCCTAGCTAACCATCTTTCCTTTACATTGAAACTGATCAGTCTTTAAAAAAATATATATTTAAAAATTACAAAAGAAATAAAAGAAGAAAGGATAACCTGGCAAAAAGACAGGGCCTCGGAATCAACATCTATCCATAATAAATGAATAAGTAATTTGTGGTATATTCAATACATGGGCTCATACCTAGTAAGAAGAATAAAGAAACTTTTTTTGGGGGTACCAGGGATCGAACTCAGGACCTTGCACTTTCAAGGCAGGCGCATCACCACTAAGCTAAATCCCCGGCCCAATAAAAAAACTTTTGCAGCTGGGAATTTAGTTCAGTGGCACTGAGTCTCCCTCATAAATGCAAGGTCCTGAGTTCAATCCTTGTCACTGTATAAAACAAAAACAAAAACAAAAACAGCAAACCCCTCAAAGAAAAGACAGAACAAAAAAGAGAAACTTTGGCTACATGAAATAACAATTCTGAGTGACAGGAAAAAATGGAAACAAAGGTTTTGTACATAGGGAAGGGAGGGGGCTTGAGGGGTGGAAATGGAATAGAATAAAATTTATTTTTTAAAAAATCAAGACAAAAATAAATCAACAGAGGAGCTATCCTTGGGAGCAAGGATAGTGACTACATGGGGGTAAAGTGGCTCTTGGGGTGCTGGTCATGTTCTAGGGGACAGTTTCTCCAGCGTGCTCACTGTGGAACGTTCCAGAGTGTGTACACTTGGTTCTGTGCCCTCCTCTCTGTATGTTATGGTTCAGTACAAAGTTTATATAACATAAAAGTCAAAGGGCCTATGACTGGGATGTCTTACCTGGAAGTCTAAGCCAAGGTCTTTGGCCAGAATGATCTCCTTGGAGGGCCCCTGGGAGCCCAAGGCAGGTAGTGGCAGAAAGGGCTCTGGCTGCTCCTTGCCTGAGCTCCCGAGGACCGAGTCTGCTTTCCGCGTGAAGGTGTTCAGCTCCTGCTGGAGCACACTCAGCCGAACCAGGATGGCATGGATGAGCTTGGTGTCCCTGGGGCCCTCGCTGTTGTCAGGGGCCTCATGCAGCCGCAAGTCAGCACACTCATTGTCCAGACACAGTCGGAGGCCTGCTGAGAAACCATTGGCATCGGCCACCAGGACATCAATGGCCTTACTGACCAGGATGGCCTGCTCCCTCAGCCCTGGCAGCACCTCAGCATCCCGGGCCCTGCAGAGCCGGGCTGAGTGGGGCTCATGGGCCTCATCAAGGGGAGCAGGCACACACTGTGCAGAGTCCCCAGCCTCAGCATCTGTCTCCAGCATGGGGCGCGTGTTCTGACAGGAGGCAAGGTCACAGCGCTGGAGGTTGGACAGCAGCACACGATTCTCATACTGCAGCTTCTTGACCTTCCCGCTGAGCTCACCGATCTGTAGCTTGGCCGCTGCCAGCTCCTCCTGTGAGGGTTCGCTGAGTACCGAGCAGCTGTCCTCTGACAGTGTCACATCCAGCTCATGCTCAGAGCGGTACTTGGCCAGTTCATTCAGCAGCAGCTTGTTCTGGTCCTCGAGTTCAGCTGAGGAGCGACGCAGCAGCTCTGCCTCCTCCTCCACAAACTGCAGGTGTCGCCGCAGCTCCACCAGGCTCTCCCCACACTCGCTGCCCCCCAGTGCAGAGAAAGCCAGCCGAGCCTCAGGGGCCCCACAGACACTGCTGTGGTCCTTTATGTCATCCATCTCAGCCCGCAGGCCCCGGTTCTCTACCTCCAGCTCCACGATGCGGCGGCTCAGGAGGTTGGCCTCCTCCTCTACCAGCTTCAGGTGTACCTTCAGTTCAGTCTCCCTGGAGTGTGGGGCATCTGCCAGTTCCTCAGCCGACAGGGCAGCATCCAGGTCACCATAGAGCGAGCGGTACCTGAGCAGCTCCTCCTTCATGCTGTCATTTTCCTTGGCCAACTTGGTGAGCTTCTTGCACATGAGAGCTGACTCCTCCTTTGCAAAGTGCAGCTGGCACTTCAAGTCTGCGCTGTCCTCCTGGGGCCCAATGGGCACAGGATCAGACACCAGCCAAGAAAGTTACCATTGGCGCAGTACCAGCCATAGCATTTTGAAAACCAACTACATGCTAGGAACACAGGGCTGAACCAGATGTAGCCTGACCCTCAAGGAGCTGGAGGTCCCGAGGAAGTAATTAAGGGGACATTGTTTTTTTTTGGGTTTTTTTGAGACTGGGATTTGCTATGTATTTCAGGCTGATCTTGAACTCACTATATAACCCAGGCTGGCCTCAAACTCACAGGAAACTTCCTGCCTCAGTCTCCCAAGTGCTGGGATTACAGTTGTGTGCCACCATGCCCAGATATTGTAGCAAGGATGGAACAGCACCCACAGGCTGGAGTTTGAGAGCAGATGACTGCTGCTGGTGCTACTACCACCATTCCTTTATTTTTTAATGTGTTAGAGCTTGAACCCAGGGCTTTGTGCCTGCTATCACCGAGCTACATCCCTAGCCCCTTCTACCACATAAGATGTGGAAATAACTGCCTTTCTCAGGCAGCCATGGATAGGATTAAAAGAGATAATGTATAAAAGTCCTTGGTACCCCAGCCTCCCTTAGGACCCAGCAGATAATGCTATTCTGTGCTTTGCCTCTGCAACATGCATCACTTTATCAAATTCTTGCAATAGGCCCACAAGATAGGGATTGATGAGGAAACTGAAGCCAGAAAGCTGAAGTGACTCAACCCAATCATAAGGCAATCAAGTGGTAAAGTCAAGGTTCCGACCCTGGACCTTCGGATTTGTTTGTCATCAGAAAGTCTGGGGCCCAAGGAAGCCTGAACATATAAGAACCCCGGGCTCAGACTGTGGTTCTGGGAAGTGCAGTGGGCAGTGAAGCCAAAAAAATGAACAAGCGAAGGACAGGGTAGAAGTTGGGGAGGGCTGAGCATCTTTGGGAACTCCCCTGGCCACATGAAGTTAGGCTGAGGCCTTCAGACTATGACCTGCCTGCAGGGCTCCCAGGCAGTACCTGTGCAGAAGACTTCTTGTCTGTCTTCCCCAGGGAGCGGGTTCCTCTTTTCTTCAAGGAATGCTGGAGGGAGAAAAAAACAGTGATAACCAACAGCTCCCAAGGGTGACACAGATCCAAAGAGCAGTCACAAGGCCTGGGGTCATCTTAGGGCCCTAGCCCAGTCATATCCAGGCCTTGACATACACCCACTGCTATGCTAGAGTGGCCTTTGAAACCACCCTATGGTCTGTAAAGAGGGACAGCCCAGAAGAACTTGAGGAGATGACTCTGAACAGGCCTGCTCAGGGCTCCTCACCTCTTTGCCACTCCCACAGATGATTCAGTTGGCCTGGACCAAGACCTGGAAATCTGGATTTCTGTTCTTGCTTATCTTTCATTTATTTGTCAGAGATTTCCTGAGCACTCGTCATGTGCCAGGCACAGTTAGGAACACTTACTGTGTGCCAGGCACAGTCCGATGTAGAGACCACAGCAGTGAATGAGATGGACAAGGTACTAGGGAGAATATTGTGGTCCCCTGCCCTGAACCCCTTTAGCCAAGATACTCATTTCCCCAGATAAAACCTTGAACCTGCGGCACCCTCCCAGCGATGCTCATTGGCTGAGGGGAGCCATCCTGTCCAAGTCATATGCCCTCCCTGGTTGGAGTGTATGTCCAAAGCCTGGGCCATGCCCCTTTGTCTCAATTCCAAATACCACCCTAGCACCAGAGGTCCCCATGGAACCAGTTAAAGCCATTGGTTTGACTCAACTTCTTCCTTTGCCTGAGCCCCTGATGATGACACAGTCATCTAGGGAAGATGACTCTTTCTTAGACCTCTGCATGCAAATCACCTCAGAGGGACTCCTGTCCTCATGAGGCTGATACCTTGTGGGACCTTGAATTCAAAACAAATACTAATAGGGGCCAGGGATTTAGCTCAGTGGTTCCGCTGCCTGCCTCGCAAGAGTAAGGTCCCAAGTTCAATCCCCAGTACCAAAAAAACAAAAAAACCCAAAAAGAAAGTACTAAAAAAACCCAAAAAAACCCCCCCAACAAAACAAAAAACAAAAAGAAAGTACAAAACAAATACTAATAAATAAAATGGATATAGGTATAAAAATTACATAGCAGACTTAGAAATCATCACAACAGACTGACGACAAACAGGATTTAAAAATTCTGAAGAATGCCAGGAATTTAGCTCAGTGGTTCCACCGCCTGCCTTGCAAGTGTAAGGACCCAAGTTCAATCCCCGGTACCAAATAAATAAATAAATAAATATCCTGAAGACTTAGGGGTGAAAATTGATACATTTAATTATACAAGCAAATTCTACGTGGAAAAAAAACCCGAAGAAAACTAAAAATATAAATGACAAACTGGGGATTTGCAATTTATAACACCGATAAAGGATTGATATGCTAAATATCCAAAGAGCTCCACCAACAGACTTAACAGGTCAATAAACATATAGGAAAATGGGCTAGAGGTATGAAAAAGAGTTCTCAGAAAAAGGCAAATGGACTTAACCATAAGAAGTTGTTCAGCCTCACTTATGATAGAGAAATGCAAATGAAAACTATACTAAGGTACCTTTCTCATCTATCAGACTGGCAAAATTCTAAACCACCTGACAATATATTAACTGATGAAACTCTGGCAAAATAAGAATGCTCACTTATTGCTGGTGAGAATGCAAAATGGCACAAGCCTATGTAAGGGAATTTGAAGAAATGCTCCAATAATCATTTCTGAAGTTTTCTGCTTAAAAAAGTCAATTAGATTTGTGATTCCATTGAACACTTCCTCCCGAGAGAGCATTGACTCATACTGCCTATGAATGAAACCACACTTAGGTTGCTTTCAACTTTCCAAGTTGGGTTGGCAGGGTTGGATTTCTGAAAATGCTTCCACATGATTGAATACATGCTCACTCCAAGCCTCACCGCCCGCCCAGGTGAGCCATCAATCTAATCCAAAGTTAGAGTCACTGATCTAATCCAAGCCCCATTTTACTGAAACAAAGACAAGGGCCCAAAGCAAATCCACAGTCACTCTAGGGCCAGCTCTTGATCAAGTTCCAAGAAGTCAGTTAGAGAAAATGTGCCCTTCCTTTCACCCCCTAGTACTATAGATTGAATCCAGGGAGTACTGAGCTACATCCCTATTGCTTTTACTTTGTTTGTTTTATTCTAAATATTGGGACAAGGTCTAACTAAGTTCCCCAGGCTGCCTTCAAAATTGCAATCATCCTGCCTCAGCCTCCCAAGTAGCTGGGATTACAAGTGTGCTATACCACACCTGGCTGAAAACATGCCTTTGACAAGGGCCAGAGTTATGCTAGCACAGTGGTTCTTAACCTGGGTTCATATCAGAATTACCAAAGGGGATTTAAAAAAAATAGATACCCCAGGTACCCCCCAAAGATTCTGATCTAATTGGTCTAGGGTAGATCTCAGGCATGTGGATTTAAAATAATTTTCCAGGTGATTCTAAAATGCAAGTTGTGCCAAGAAGAGGAGCTCCAGATAAGCTTCTAGTTTGTTTTCCAGCCCAACCAGATCCTAGAGACCTTTTGGGATGCAAATGCGGCAGGAAGGCAAAGACTGGTAATTCCTTCACATGCTGCCAGGTGCCCACAGCAGGGAGCCAGCATTTGAGAGCAGCTGGCCTAGGATGTTTCAAAATAAAGAAGGAAAGGGGAGATGGGGTGGGAGTCACAAAACAAACCCTTCATAAAAATCTGGGGATACCGGGATGTAGGGCTGTGAGGGCGGGGTGGGGCTCCGCCTCTCCAGGTGGAACATCAGCCTGATGGATCTGGCCCTGCCATCACAACTGAGACCCACATGCTGGATCTCCAGGGATCCTTCCTCTCCCTGAAATTCCATTTTCTCATTATAATATTGAGCCATGGGTTAAGTGACCAAAAACCCCTTAAGCTATCTGATTCCCTGAAGGAAGTGAAGTGATACAAGGCTAACCCAGGGGTCTCTAAAGGCACTGAGTATCACACTGAGGATCAATGCACAGCAATCAAAAGGGACTGGAGGTCATGAGAGTTGCTAACATGTAAAGTCTCCATGACACCTGGTAAGGGGAAGTAACCTGCAAACAAAACCTACAAGCCAAATACACCTACCAACGGAGGAACAGATAAACAAAATGAGGTCTAGTGACACAACTGAAAATTATACAGCCAGGAAAGGAATTTAGTCCTGACACACGCTACCACATGGTGTGCAGAAAACACCATCCAAAGGGAACAAAGCTGGGCACATATCACATGGTTCCATTTACATGAAATGCCCAAATGAGGCAAATACACCAGGCAGAGTAGAATGACAGCAAGAGCTAGGGAAGGGTGGAATGGGAAGTGTCTGTTCATGGGCAAGAGGTTTCTTTTAGGGGTGACAAAAATGTCCTAGAATTACAGTGGTGATGATTGCACAACTGTTTGAGTACACTAGAAACTATGGAACTGTGCACTTTAAAAAGATAAACTTGGTGCCTCGCAAGCACAAGGACCCGAGTTCGATCTCTGGTACCAAAAAATAAAAATAAAAAGATAAACTTCGGCTAGGAGTGCAGCTTGGTGGTACAGCGCTTGCTGAGCATGTGTCAGGCCTACCACTGTAAAACAAAGAGAAAAGACAAACTTCATAAACTTCAGGGTATGTGAATTATAGCTCAATAATAACTGTTACTGAAAACAAACCTGAAAGCCTATTATCACTGTTACAGAAACGTGTGTGTCCATGTGGGGATAAGGTGCACTACAGCAGAGGCTGGCACTGTGAAGACACAGAGCACTTGCACTTTTCCCTTCCACTTTTACAATTTCATTTTATTTTATCTTATTTTTTGAGAGGAGGATGGGGAACATGGTCTTCAGAGTTTTTCCTTTAAAGTTTTTTTAATAGCATACTTTTGTGTGTGTGCATGTGTGTGTGTGTGTGTGTGTGCGTGCGTGTGCGTATGTGGTACTGGGGTCTGTACCCAAGGTTTTTGCATTGAGCTATATCCCCAGCTCTTTTTATATTTTATTTTGAGACAGGGTCTCGCTAAGTTGGCCAGGCTGGGCTGCAATGTGGGACCTTCTTGCCTCAGCTTCCTAGAGTGCTGGAATTACAGGCGTACACTAGTGTCAACTACAAAATTCTTAAAAATCAATTAATACACAAGAATACATTTTCACTGTACAAAATATGCACTAAGTAGATAAAGCCAAAATGCCCCTTTTCCAAGCCTCTGGTGTTCCTCCCTTCCCTGAGGGCCTTTGAAGGGCCCTTATGAAGCTCCTTTTAGACCTCTGGCTCTGTATTTAAAACACCAAAATAGAGGGTGCTGTTTTGGACTTTTCTTCTTATGCTTACTGGATTCTGTGATCTTTGATTTTATAATAAGCATTTAGGCAGAGGAAAACAAAACATCCAGCGTTAAACAAAACGTCTCTATTCATGCAATATGATCCTGTACATTACAGAAACAGTGTCTACAATATACCTGTATCTTTATTTTAAAAAACAACAAGAATGTGCATTACCTGAGCATAGAGACCTGGAAAGATAAAAAAACAAACTGTTAATCATGGGTGAAGCTGAGAAGCAGAAGTAAGGGAGGTGGTTAGGGATGGCTTTCTTATTTTATATACGGTTTTATTAGTTCTACCACTTCTGAGTAGATGCCACATTCACATGGTTCAAAATTCAGAGCACAAAGAGGGACACAGGGAACCCAGCCCCAGCTCTCCTGCCCCTAGGCAGCCAATGTAACCAGAGCTGGCTGGTAACTTTCCCGAAAGGTATGCTAGGCATGCATTTATGTGCTTCTGTAATGAGATTTTTGCTTCACTGAGTTTATATTATTTAGATTTTAAAATTACATATATAATTATTATTATATGTATTATTTTCATATGTAGGCATGGAAACACTTACTGGAAGTACAATCTGCCGCTCAAATAGACATTCCCTCCAAATACTGGATTATAGGTGAGTTTTTTTCCTTACAGCTCATTGTACTTTCTAATCTTTCTCTGCTAAGCATGTACCACCATCTGTTGGGGGACACTGAA